AGTGTTCAACAATCTGCCACAAAGTATTAAAAACTTGGGCAATGATACTAAAAAGTTTAAATCAGAGTTAAAGAATTATCTACATGCTCATTCCTTCTACTCTTTAGATGAATACTTCAATGTAAATAGAGAATGATGTAAAATTAAGTTATATTAATTTTTAAGCTAAAATTGCCTGTACTTATGTATGTAACCTTTTGACTTGTTCTGTATTCAAAGGTACTAACCTGCTTAGGATTTATAGAATGTAAATAAATTCAATTCAATTCAATATGAAGATGAATTAATATATTTTCATGAGACTGTCACAGGTTCCTGACAGTTTCAGTCTAGAATTCCATTACAGTGGAACCTCGCTTAAGGAGCACCTCATAACAAGTAATTCGCATGAACAAAACAAATTGTACAAAATGACTCGCTTAACGAGCGACGTTTCGCATAACGAGTGACGAGAGGGGAAGTCCTGGTTTGTGCACTTGCTACATCAGTCTGTGTTTAGCACTCGTTCTGCTAGAATCTTAGTGTCGCTTGTGATCACACATTTTTTCAAACTTGTGTTCAGACATATTATTTGTGATTTTTTTGTGCAAAGTTTAATAACCCTTGCAAAAATGTCCCCGAAAAAAAAATCAGCAAAAAGACAGCTATAAGAGAATAAAAATAATTATAGAAATGAAACATAAAATCATTGAAAAACAAGAACGAGGTGTGAGCGTGACTGATCTAGCACGCACATGCAGTCGGTCTACATCAACAATTTGTACGATTTGGAGTTGCATTGTGTTTCACAGCAAGAAGTTGTGGAGGAGAGTTTGTCAGAGGAGGAGGTAACAGCAAAGCAACAATCTTCTGGTGCAATAAGAGAAATGCTGAAAGCATGGGAAACTGTTGCATCGTACATTGAGAAGCATCACCCTAATAAGGCAGTGGCTATGGGTGCTACAAATTTATTTAATGATAATGCTGTGTCACATTTTCACCAAATTTTGAAGTGTTGGCAAAAACAAATGTCTCTAGACAGCTTTCTAGTAAAAAAGAATTAGATATGTATCATAAATAATAAACTAATTATTTTGATTTATAATTTTCTTTGAATAAACATTATACATAAAATTTTGGAGTACTTTTTTCAGCATGGAATGCATTATCGTATTTTACATTAATTTATATGGGAAAAATTGTTTCACTTAACAAGTGTTTCATATTACGAGTAAGATTCTGGAACGAATTATGCTCATTAAGCGAGGTTCCACTGTATATAAAATAGCTTACTGTAATTTTATAATCTGTACTCCTCATTAAATATTATCGGGGTCATCAAAACTAGGAGTGTGAGATTGTAGGGCATATAGCACACATGGTGAAAATGAGAAATGCATATAAAAATGCAGCAGAAAACCCAAAGGAAAGAGACTACTTCAGAGACAATTCCTGGATACGAGGATAGTATTAATATTGTTGCATGTTTGCTAGGCAATGCGGCAAGAAATTTTGTGGGTTTCGGATTTGAAAAAAATTTTCTTGGACAGTCACTTTTACACTCACAGTTATTCACAACTTATAACGTCGTCAGATGTTTCTTCTTCACGATCACAACTTCTTGCACCGCTGATTTTGGTGAGGTCTTCTCTGTATCTCTGTAATCTCTGTGTAATCTCTTCTCTATAATCTTTTCGTATCACTTTCTATCTCGAATCATTGTGATCTCATCATATCACTTTGTATCTCAGCTCGTTGTAATCTCTTCGTATCTTGTAACCTCGTCTCAATTCTGACATGGTCTTCCTTTATACCCTACTGTAGGACAGACTGTAAGACACCTTGCTCAAGGGTTCTGTTTCACATGTTCTCTCTGCTGGTAGCTAGTGGTGTGTTTCGTTGTAGCTGTAACTTCTTCTTGGGTGGCCTTTCTATCTGTTTCTGCCTCTTCTATCTTGGTTCCGTGGGTTCTCAATTCTTCTTGCATGGACTTCAAGAGTTCTAATATTTGTTCCATATCTTCAATGTAATCCAACCACTTCTTACAACAAACTGGGGCGTATTTGCTTGTGATTATGGTCCAATACCTTGTTCCCGAATCCGAGCCTATCCCACTTCTGACACCAGTTGTCGTGTGTTTGCTAGGCAATGCGACAAGAAATTTTGTGAGTTTTGGATTTCTAAACAAATATTTATTGGACAATCACTTTTATACTCAGTTATTCACAACTTATAGCATCGTCGGATGTTTCTTCTTCACTATCACAACTTCTTGTACCGCTGATCTTGGTGAAGTCTTCTCTGTATCTCTGTAATCTCTGTATAAACTCTACTCTATAATCTTTTTTTATCATTTTGTATCTCGGCTTGTTGTAATCTCTTCATATCTCCTTGTGATCAGGCCTCACTTCTGACCTGGTGTCCTTTATACCCTACTGTAAGACAGACTCTAAGACACACTGTGCAAGGGTTCCATTCTCTATAATGTTTTCGTATCATTTTGTATCTCAGCTGGTTGTGATCTCATCATATCACTTTATACCTCAGCTTGTTGTAATCTCTTTGTATCTTGTAACCTGGTCTCGATTCTGACCTGGTCTTCCTTTATGCCCTACTATAGGACAGACTCTAAGACACCTTGCTCAAGGGTTCCATTTCACAGGTTCTCTCCTCCTGTAGGTAGTGTTTTGTTTCATTGTAGCTGTAACTTCACTAGTTAGGTAGCGTATTCTCTCATTGCTACAAGTTTTCCTAGCCGTTGTCATGCAACTGCCTCGAACAATTCGTGGGTAACAGTGGAAACTCCACTGTTAGATGGCTGGCCACTGTATAGCAATGGATGCGTTCTGATTCCTAGGCGTTGCGTAGGAAATCAACTCTGATCTCCTATTCCATTCCGGATTACTGGCAGCATGCCACAATATTAATGGAAGAGCATTGAAAGGTTGTGGATTGGATTTAAGTGGCTAAGGATGAGGTGATGGAACACCTCTGAACATGGCAATGAACCTTTGGCATATAAAAGCAGAGGAAATGTTTTGACCAGCTGCATGATTATTAGTGTCTCAAGTACTCTACTGTTGGGCGTCACTAAATCTAAAACAAGAGAAATATATGAAAGGGCCAAATAACTTCCTGCTAATCTGAATCTCATATGCTTGCTCCACATTCCAGAAGGAGTGAACAACTTACAGATTATTGCCCATAGGTAAAGTTAACAGGTACTACAGGTATTAAAAAAGTAATAAGTTTAAGAGTATTATAAAATCTTATTTTCAAACACTTCCATTTATATTTGAAAGTACAGTTCTGCTCACCTGTTGGCTGGAACTCCATAGACTTTCCCCAGAATTTTGTCTTGATCCTAGCATCCTGGCTGAAAACAAAGTTTCTTGATTCTGCATAGCACACACTTATAGGTGGATGGTGGCTCACCTGATAACAAATCAAACATGTATATTTCACGGGATCATTGCTGCATATGCATATGTGTATGTATGTACATATTAAGCTCCTACCATGACGAACATGTGACCACACTTTCTGACTGACTGATTGATTGATTGATTTATTTAACATCCATAACTGTTACATTATGTACAATTGGACAAGTCAGTTTTATAAATAAATATACGAGATTAAACATCACATCAAATGACTAATAATATAAAAAAAACCATAGAAAAATAACATAATAAATCCTTTAAATATGATAAAACAGTGGATGAGTATAATAAGGCAACAAGCTAAACTATAAATTACATGCAATATCTAAAATAAATTACCTAAGTATCTTTATTAAGCTAATTCTTGTAAAAATATTCTTGAAGGGAATAAAAAGCTTTGCACAACAAGTAATCCTTTAATTGACGCTTAAAAACCTTGAACTCTTGAATACTTCTTATTTGAGAGGGCAAGTTATTATACAATCTTATTCCCATGTTAATCACACTCCTTTTACAACGTGAGGTGTTACATGGTTGGACATACAAATTCTGCTTATGTACTGTGTTATAACCGTGCACATCTGAATACGAGATGTTATATATCCTATTTTTCCTTAAAAAACACAACGTCTCAAAGATATACAATGAAGTTAAGGTTAAAATTTTAAATTCACCAAAAAATTCTCTACACGATACCCTGTTATTGACTCTTTTGATCAGTCTTAAACATTTTTTTTGGATTTTAAATACAGTTTGAATGTCCTTTTGACCACAGCCCCAAAAAATAATACCATATCTCAATAAAGATTCAAATTTCGCAAAATACACACTTCTCAAAATTGGAAGACTGACCAAATCTCGTAAGGATTTGATAAGATAGATGGTTTTGTTTAATTTTTGAACTAAATGGTGAATGTGAGAGGACCAACTTAAATTCTCTGTAATATATATACCTAAAAATTTTAAATTAGCTGTGTATGTTATTTTCTTATTATTCAAATAAAGTTCCGGTTTATCAATTTGACGGGGACCACGTCCCTGAAAAAAGAGTGCTTTTGTCTTTTCAATATTAATAATAAGATGATTTACCGCGAACCAATTTTCTAATTGATGCATAGAAACTATAGTTTTATCATTTAAAGATTTAAGATTTTTGTCAATAATTAGTATATTGGTGTCATCTGCAAATAAAACAACTTTCGCTTCATGAACAGCTTTAGGCAAATCGTTTATAAACATTAAAAACAAAAGAGGTCCCAGAACCGAACCCTGAGGAACACCGTACTTTATTTCCTTACACGAAGAGGAGAATGATTTTTGATTTGGAGACTTGGCATCAACATGGTCAATTTCTACAAACTGGGATCTACCCGTAAGATATGATCTCATCAAAGAGAGTGAAATTCCTCTAAACCCATAAAGTTCCAATTTAGCCAACAGTAATTTGTGGTTTATCACATCGAAAGCCTTGGAAAGATCCAAAAAAATACCCAAAGCAAAAAACTTATTGTCTAATGCTTTCTGAACATCCTCAATAAATGATTGCAGTGCTGTATGAGTTGATTTATTTTGTCTAAAGCCATTTTGGGCATCAGATATCAAATTATGTTTATTTAAGAAATTCACTACTCTGTTATATATTAATGTTTCAAAGATTTTAGAAAAAACAGGTAATAGTGAAATAGGTCTATAATTAGATAATTCTTGAATTCGTCCTCTCTTATGAATAGGGCGAACTTTGGCAATCTTCATCTGATCAGGAAAAATTCCAGTACAAAGAGACAAATTAAAAATAAATGTTAAAGGTTTACAAATAGGTTGAATACTAAATTTTACTAACTTTTCTGGGATTTCGTCATAGCCCGCGGAGAGTTTACCTTTTAGTTTACTAGTCACACTAAGTACCTCATTTTCTGTAATTGGTACGAAAAAAATCGATTTAGAAAATGGAGTAACTTTACATGCTTGGTCATACTTAGGTTTTTGATCATTTAATTGGTTTACCATTTTTCCTGCAATTTCAACAAAAAAAGAATTAAAATGACCGGGAGTGAGGAGGGGGTCTAAGTCAGTCATGGAGTCCACATCCGAGGTTTTATAATTTATTTTAAAAGCTTTCCCTGATTCAAAGTTTATAATTTGCCATAACGCTTTAGAGCGGTTTGTTGATTTTTGGATGAATCTGTCATTTTCTTTTTTACGAGCATCTGCTAACACGTTCTTATAAATTTTTTGATACTTTTTTATATAGTTCAAAGAATGCCTAGGAAGAATCAACTTTTTCTTTAAGTAACATAGAAATTGAAGCCGCTGTCTAGAAACTTTTATCCCTTTAGTAATCCATCTGGATTTGATGTTTTTTACATTTCCAACTTTTTTTATATGAAACATGTTCAGGAAAAGGTCCCGATACTTGTCTAAAAAAAGACTATAAGCTTTGTTTACATCAGTTTGGTGATACACCTCATCCCAGACTTCCCTTGTTAACCTCAAGTTAACCTCTGCACTCCTGCTGTATAGTACACCAATAGGGAGAGCCACTGATTTGACAGACTGGTCAGAGATGTGTGGTAATTCAACACATTGATTCTGATGATGAAGACAGAGGGGATCTCTGAAATGCTGGTTTCCAATTCAACACTAACAAGGCCAATTGCCTGAGATTTTAGCACATTCATTTGCTATTAAGGCTTCAAATCTTACATAATATATTGCAAGTTCTGAAAGCAAACTGATCAGAAAAGTGGATGGATCTAGGACATGGAAAGTATTATAAAGTATAATGAGGAACTTCATGACCTGTAGAGTTCCACTACTGTTAATACAATACTCAGCCTAACACAAATGCAAACAGAATTTCAACACAGAAATATAACAGAGAGCATCTATTTGGAGGACTATGAAAGAATAAGAGGATAGTACAAAAGGCCAACCAACTCTGTCCAGTGTGACTACAGAAGATCTTTCTATTTTCAATCTTTTTTTCCTTACATGTTTCGGTCTTTATAGACCATATAAGATATAATATGAGACCATACAGATATATGATTGATAATAGAAAGATCTTCTTTAGTCACACAGAACAGAGTTGGTTGGCCTTTTGTAGTATGGTTAGTGTGATGGACCAGGATGAAACAAATCAGAAATAAGAGGATAATATTAGAACTTACTGTAGTGAAATAAGTTCTTAAGATATAAACTAGACTAAGCTAGTTTTGACATCAGCTATAATGAATCTTCAGCTTCTGTTATCACAGAATTAATTTCTTACTATATATAGGTATCCCTTGATCTGTGGAGGTAATTCATTCTATGAAAACTGTTAGTAAGATAAAAACACTTAAATCAAAAATTAAATTTCCATCATTTTGCATGTAAAGTGACTGAACTTACATAAGTTGTTCACTCTAGAAAGAATAAAGTTTATTCAATGAAAAATAGGTACAAATTAACATGCTTTGTTGTAATGAGAGTGTGTGTAAATTCAGTGTAAAGCTACGGAAACCACCTACACATCTCATTAACTGTTACCTGTTCTGCTATGAAACGGAAACCCTTATCCTCTCGTATACATTCGTATGTCTCTCCTAATAGGGGGTTGAATGGTTTGCTTCCTGCCCGAAAATAGGAAGAACCATAACCTGATACTGCAAATGCTGCAATATATACCATTCTCTCATATGGATCATCTACATCTGCAGCTTTATCCAGAAGTTCACTGTACTCCAGCTCTTCACACATGCGCTATCAACAAAGAAATGTTTGCTCAGAACCGAAGCTGAGTAACATAACAGGTGTAGGCAGAAAGCTATTTCTTTTTATGCACATGCACAAGGCCAGGCATATTCCAACATTATCATGAGATTTGCTTTCCTTCACATTCTCCTTTCTCTTCCTCTAACACAGAAAAGAAAATAAAAGCCTCATGATGCAATGTGTTGGAACAAAGAAGACTCAGTAATACATTATGTAAGCTTTGTTACATTCAGTTCATATACAAACAGGTATTGGCTTAAACTGAATTCCAAGATGTTAAACACTGCAACCTGTTTGTACATATCACACACCGAAATGTGTTCTGGAAATGTAAAAATTATGATATTTAATAAATTAAAAAATGACAAACAACATTACACAAGCATGAAACAGTAACAATTAATATTACAAAAGAAGGATAACAAATGGTACAGTTGGGCAGTATGTGGGTTCTGATTGTGTAATGAGCTCTTCACAGTTCATATAAACAGAAAATGGGCTGTCACTAGTACTGTCATCTGAGATGTGATGGATGTAGTCTGCTACATGTCTACCAACACAGGTAAACTTGTAGCAGGCTACTTAACATCACATTCAAGAAGACACAGTCACTGCTGTGAGACCCTCAAGTCTAGCACTTTACATAGAAAGAAAAGAAATGAAAAGGAAGGAAGGAAGAAGAAGAATACAGGTATTAAACCTAAAAGTTGCACAAGGGGGTGTGGCGGTAACTGTGGACATTACCTGCAACATGTTCAGAGGTTCATTTAATGCAACTGGCATTGAGACCTGTGACAGATCTTTGCCAATGTTTTTGCACAGCAGGTTCCACAGAGACAGCCCTTCAGTGTCAGGTCTTGGTGATGGCAGTTTGGTGCGCCGTCCTGTCATGCACTTCATACTGGAAGCCCCAGGGCCTCCAACCACTGTAAATATGTCAAAGTGTACTATAAAATGCATGGTCTATCTTATGCCTTACAGTAGTATGTAGGCATTAAATTAATATACATACATATTAGCTGCTGGTATTGAGTACTGCAATTAAACAGAGAGACATGTAACACATTTTATAAAAATGAAATGTGCATATAATGAACATTTCACAAAATCATTGGATTAAAGAGCATAATAAAATCCCAATAATGCATACCAGTTAAGAACTTCAGTATTTATCATCAGGCTGTGACTTTTTAGCATATGCACTGTTTCTTTCTGTTTTCTATCTCCTTCTATCACCTCTCCCCTTTTCTTCTTTTCCTTTATTTCACTTGTACCTCAGTCACGTTCCCTCCTCTCCCCCATACTCCTATCCTTTTTATTTGCCCATCCTACTGCCATTCCTGTCACCGTTCCTTTCTCCCTTTCCTCTGCATTAACACAGTTCAGGCAAATATTGCTCAAATTGTATTATAATTATATAAAATGTGAAAGTATGCACATGTGTTACTGAAATGAAGTACTGGGGCCAACAGTTAATGCCGTCAGGCACTGAAAGTAACTATATACTCTGAGCACAAACAAATAGTGAGCAACATTTATTACATCTGATAACAATTCGATGTTCTCTCTTTCAGCCAACTTTACTTTCAAGGCAACAAAGCAGGCTTATGAGATTACCATGTTTTGTCAATGTGTCTCCCTCCACCTCATTTCAACTTCTGAAATAGTTTGCCCATTTTCACAAAATTTGGTATGTATGCTGTGCTGTCAGAGACCTCCCTCAACCTTCTACTTTTCATTCTGCCATCACATGGCAGATGGTGAAGTTGTGGGGTGGGAGGTACAATAGCACCACTTAATCTAGTATCCTGAAATGATGATGTATGGTATATATTTTTAAATAAACAACTTTTGTTTTACACAACTTCTTTTTGTAGAATGTAAAAATAACATATGACCACATGACAATTTTCTTTAGCTACTAGTTTAATGCCGGTAACTAATAAGTCATTAAAGCTAGACATGTGAAATTTGGTAGAGAGATGAATTATTAACATGCTTATATATTATGTAAGAAACATAGTCTGAATATCACCAATGATGGTGCAAAACTCTGAGGATATAGCCAACAAATTTAAACATACTGTATGTGTATTTAAGTAACAAGTTCTTAAAAATATTAACCTTTAAGAGACAAGCCATTTAAATTCCGGTAATGGCTGCGGGCCGGAGTTAATTTAAATGCCCGCCATTGTAGAGTAATAAAAATTGTAATCATGTTACTCAAAATGCTGCGATTTCTACAATTTTTGTGATAAACGAACGAAATAAACGCTACTTTTATCTAGAAAGAATATAGAATCAGATATTGTAATTTACTGATTTTAGAATCTGTAAAAATTGTTACACTGATTCCAAAAAAAAAAAAAATTTCCTCAATTTTGAGCGTCTGTCCACAAAAATGCATAAAGCTTCTGCACAAAACATTTCTGCAGTATAAATGCATGCCGCTGATATTCTCTCTTACTATGTCTTATCTGGCGAAAGAGGAGGAAGTTTGTTTGTACTGCACATTCTCCAGTCACGTCGGCTTCCTGTATACACGAGTGTGGGTGATTTCTTATCCTACTTTGTCCTTATGAAACTCTGCCTGTTTACACACGTATGTCGGACTATCCACACAGAGGCACTCTTCTTGGAATATCCCCTCATTCCCCTTGCTTCCACGTCCCTTCAGAATAAACTGTAACGCATTCTGAATGGTGTGATTTACAAGCGGCCTCTCAATTTCGGCTTCTTCCATGTGAAATTGGGCCATGGTGCATAGTTGAAATTGTGATGTTTTATAAGCGTTACAAATAGAGATCACTCGCCATCACTGGCCTACTTCCTGCTAATACGGGACAGATGTTGCGTGTGTGCGTTTCATGTGGAAAACAGAGTTACATACGGACAAAGTGTATGAATTGCGACGCCGGATTCTGCATTCAGTTACATGCAACATTCAGTTAGATGATGCAGGTTGGAAGACAGTCTACTTATAAAGCTGGTGTCCAAAAATAATGTACCGCATTCTGATGGTGTGATTTACGAGTGGCCTCTCAATTTCGGCTTCTTCCATGCGAAATGGGGCCATGGTGCATAGTTGAAATTGTGATGTTTTATAAGCATTACGAATAGAGACCACTCGCCATCACTGGCCTACTTGCTGCTAATACGAGACAGATGTTGCGTGTGTGCACTTTGAGTGGAAAACAGAGTTACATACGGACAAAGTGCATGAATTGTGTCGGACTCTGCATTCAGTTACATGCAACATTCAGTTAGATGATGCAGGAGGGAAGACAGTCTACTTATAAAGCTGGTGTCCAAAAATAATGTAAGCAGAACAAGAATTTCTATCTTAAAATTAGATATTAAAACACTGTGTGCATGCGTGGACTGCGAGTCACCATACTGTGTCTTTTGGCCATTCGGCTTTACTTTAAAGGTCCCCATACGGTGTCCTTCGACTCATAAAGGTTAAATAAAATAACAATAACACTATATCTGTAGGATTAGCAACTTTTTGCTTTCCATCTGAGAGAAACATGCCATTACCTAGCCTCAACCCTACAAACACATGCTCTTGCACGGACACATACATAAAAATAAAATAATATCTTATCATTTTTTTAAGGCACTGACCTTAATATAGTTGTGTTGTGACAGTTTTAATAAAGAAATTGAATATCTTATCTACTAATTTTCAACAGCACATTAAGGTTTCACTGGAAAACATACCAGGCTGCCCACATAATTTTAATTCCTGGTCCCATACAATCATAACAATGAAAACTTCATTGTACATACAAGCAGATATTTTAAAAGCATAATACTCTTTCCTGCTTTATATAAACTTTTGTGGTTTTAACAGAAACAGGTATTGCCATTACAGCTAGGAATAAACAGGATGACACTTACAACTCTGGGCTGGTGTGTACTCTGTACCCACTTCACTATTCTCACTGCTAACACTGCCCTCTTCACTGGAGATGCTACCTGCTTCAGATGATGTATCACTACCATCACGGCCTCCTTGTCTGTCCTGATGTAACTGATACTCTTCAGCATCAAAGAATTCAGATGCACTAACACAAGACGAGCTGTACGATAGAGATGCATGAAGAGGCCTCTGAAGCTGAAAATAGAATAATTTATCTATGTTATCATAAAAATTAGATTTATTGAAGTCCCATCTGAATGGATTCCTCTGCAGAACATATCAACATATGTAAACAAATCAAATTCTGTCAATATTCCTTTAAGTGTCACAAACAAATCTCCCATTCCACATACACAAAAATAGGTTGGCTGTCAGGAAGCAAAGCTATATGAAAATGCATTAGTTTAAATAAAACAAGGAATGAGTGCAAAAAATAAAGATCAATGAAGTGAGAACAGAGTAACACTATACATGCTCCCCAGTATAATCACAAATAAAACAGGACAATTACTAAAATAATTTAACATTTATGGATGGTGTAGTGGGTATAGTGATGGGCTACGGGTTATGGACTGGGTGGTCAAGGGGTCGGAGTTCTAGTCCCAATAGGGGCAAGATTTTCTTCCTCTCCATGTCACTCAGAACAGTTTTGGGGCTGACAGCCTCCTACCCAATGGGTACCAGGGTCTCCTTCCCTAGGGGCAAAACAGCCGAAGCGTGAAGGTGACCACTCACTTCCAACTTGTGCCGAGGTCAAGAATGTGTGGATCTATACATTCACTCCCCCTTGTCTTCATGGCACAGTGCTTAATTACTTAAGAATATGGATGAATTTATCTGAATTATAAACTAAGCAATGTTTAAGCAGTGTTTATCACATTGCGGACCGGTCGCATGATATCATGCTTTTCCCTTTTTTACGTGGTGGACCGGTTGCATGATATCATGATTTTAGGACACGTTAGGTTGCAACATACTATACCTTGCTCCTTTGCCATGCAGCTGTATGGCTACAGAGCAATAAAACTCCAGAATGTTTGCTTAGTATTCAGTAACATGACCTCGCTGTTTTCTTAATGTGCTCTAAAGGAAAATGCTTTGCCTGTCTTCAAGTTGTATGTATCAGCCAGTAGTTAGTGGTGGAGTATGGATCAAGGACAAATTCTTCTCCGATGAGCTAGCTTACACGCCTTGTGAGACGTGTAGTGATGGTGACTCAGAGAGTGGTAGTGACAGGGGCCAACAAAGAATTGTGGCCACAGACAGTCAAAGTGACAGTAGCTCTTATGAAAATGCGGGTAGGACAATTGCGGGGACAGCAAAAATTCTAAAAAATCACAAAAATCTAAACCCTGATTCGAAATTGAAATACAAAGCACTTCTGATGAATGTGGCAAAGGCCTGGGCTACAGACCAGATGGTGGTGGCAGAACCAGAGTCAGACAGACTTAGTGCGACCTAGCCCATCAACTCCCACCCCACGCAGGCCTCATGTGGACACCCCTGGGTGACTCTCGGGTGATATGCAGAAACATACTCTTGTGAAAATTGTGAAGAGTGAACATGCCAAGGGGAAGCATCCTTCTAGACAATGCCATGTTTGCACAGTTCACAAAAAAAGGAGTATGATTGTCTACATTGCAAGTTCTGTGTAATGCCACTTCACAGAGGGGAATGTTTCTAGAAATATTGCTCTCAAGCAATTCTAGGAGCATTGGCAAGTGTTCTCCAAAAATATTAGTTCATAAAATTAATTAGGAGATTTTATATTAATTTTTAAAGTGAACAGTGCACAAGTTAGGATAGTAGGTTTAATAATGCCGGTCCCCAGGGTGATTTAAATATTAAAATCGCCAGCCCGCAATGTGTTAAAATGAACATCAGTTACATACAAAAAGATATAACAATACAATGTTATAATGAACCTTAATAATACATTTTTAACTGAACAAAGTATTTATCACATGAGGAACTGTACCAGAACCTCTTTATTCCATGGGTTTGTCACCTGCACATACCCATATGAACTGCACTGTATGACAAGTGGTTTGAGCATGGATATATTCAAATAACAGATCTGTTAAAATCTCAGATGTATTGCTGGTTACAACAACAGAAACAATGTACTTATCATATTTATATAGTGGGTAAATATTATTCCCATATTATATTTTATGTGCTATTCACAGGTAATGGGTATTTTGTCTCTCAAACAAAGAAGAACCTAAGGGAGAAAAGTGTACGCACTCTGCTACCAGTAGATCAATCAATCATGTATGCTGGCCCCCAGAACACTTATTTTGTGGATGAAGTTACCAGTGGCAGAGCACATTCATTTTATCATACTGACGGTTTTCACTGCAGCAGAATGACTGAACTGTGAACCCAGCATTCATACCCTGGGCAGGATCCAGCAACTGATTACAATGGCCTATGCTGTTTCACCACACACTGTACTGCTACCTACACAAGACCAATTAACCTTTAACGGCCGAATGTTATAATTATTCGCATCAAGTAGCAAGCCGAGCTGGCCAAATGTTATAATTTTTAGGGACAAGCCACGTGCTTCCTTTGTGAGTGCTGGCAGTTTGACCTTGGGTTTGAAACCCAAACAAACTCATGAACGTTCATGTCAGATGTTTATTTGTTAGCTCTGAACAATGAAATCGTTTATCAGGGTACTGGTTTCGAAACTATTTACGTTTAGATATGACTGTTTATGACCTGGTGAGCCAATAGAGGTCAGCTTTGTTTTGAGAAGTTAGAGGAGGAAATATTCGTAAGCACTTTCATAGCAGTGCTGCCAGAGCTTTCAAGGAAGTGTGGCTCATTGAGGGATTGGTTTGCAGTGTTGAATTCTCAGTTAGGACGTCAGTGGCGGATTTTCTATATTTTGTTAAAAGTTAGTCAGTGTCAGACTCCTATATTTCTTTTATATCATTTTTATTGTGTATCTCGGAAGTGGTATAAATACACTGAGCCAGTGTTACTTTGTGCGTAAAGACATCTTCGTCACTGTGACTTTCGGTATCAGTGGC